TGGAACTCTCTTCCTCCTGACATTAGAAACACCGATAGCTTCAACCTCTTCAAAACCAAACTCAAAACCCATTTGTTCCGAACTGCTAACAGCGACAAAGTGGCACTACCTCTCTCTCTGCTGCTAAAGCTACTGATAGCAAATGCTACGGGCTATGCCTGAGCGTGAACGCGCATGAAGCAGCCTGCTCGACCCGAGCAGCTCTCTTTTTCTGTGATTTTACAGAAAAATAGGCAATCACAGTAAAAATGCCAGGGCTCATTCTACAGGACCAGGGCATTGCAGGAGAATGTATGAAGAAGAAATGTATTATTTCTATACATGTTTTGGCTGTCAAACTTCTATAATGCCCCTTTAAATAAAATGTATTGTTATTATTGTTGTTGTCTCTTTTAATAACAGGCTCCAAACAGAAATGCTATTTCAGCTACGGCGCGCTCTTCTGCGGTTAACAATTATCAGTGTTTACCAGCCCTCTGAGAACCAGCTGCTGCTTGTGGCTCCTAAGGCTAGGTTAAAGTTAAGAGGGGACAGGGCGTTCTCTATTGCGGGTCCGAAACTGTGGAACGCACTGCCCCTAACTATTAGGGACTCTCCATCAGTAGCGGTTTTTAAAATGAGGCTGAAAACCTACTTTTATGATCTGGCTTTTAATTCTGTGGGTTAGCAATCGTTAATGTTTTATATTTTGTAATTCTCATTTGTGGTTTTAATTATGTCTGTAGCGTTATATGTTTTATTGTTTTACTCTTTTGTTGTACAGCACCTTGGTGGCATGCTCATGACTGTAAGTTGAGCCCTCCTTTTAAGTTTGCTTCGAAGCAGAAATACTCCCAAACTGCCGACGTTGGGTTGTTTTTAGACAGCAAACCAGGCGATCAGTAACATTGGAGCACCACAGGGGACTGTACTCTTACCATTCCTTTTCACCCTGTACACCTCAGACTTCCAGTACAAATCAGAGACCTGAAATACTCAGATGACTCTGCAGTTGTCGGGTGTATCAGAGATGGACAGGAAGCTGAGTACAGAGAGCTGGTGAAGCGCTTTGTGGCATGGTGTGGAAACAATCATCTGACCTTGAACGTGAACAAAACAAATGATAAATGACCCACACTTGTATAGCGCCTCTCAGAGTAATGACTCCAAAGCGCTTTACACTACAGTGTATCATTCATCCATTCACACACACATTCATACACTGGTGGGGATGAGCTATGATGTAGCCACAGCTGCCCTGGGGCGCGCTGACAGAGGCGAGGCTGCCGAGCACAGGCGCCACCGGACCCTCCGACCACCACCAGCAGACAAGGTGGGTTAAGTGTCTTGCCCAAGGACACAACAGCAGAATTCTCTGTCCGGAGCCTGGATCGAACCTGCAACCTTCCAAAGGAGATGATTTTAGACTTCAGAAGAAACAGGGTGAAGTCAAACACTGTTTCCATCATGGGAGATGAAGTGGAGGTGGTTGAGGAATACAAATACCTTGGAGTTCACCTGGACAACAGACTGGACTGGAGAAAGAACAGCGAAGCCGTTTACAAGAAGGGACACAGCAGACTGCACTTCTTGAGGACGCTTAGGTCCTTCAATGTTTGTAGCAAGATGCTGCAGATCTTCTACAAGTCTGTTGTTGAGAGTGTAATCTCTTCAGCCTCGTCTGTTGGGGTAGCAGCATCAGAAGCAGGGACCTGAAAAGGCTCAACAGCCTAAAAACAAAGGCTGGTTCTGTTCTGGGGACGACTGTGGAACCACTGGAGGAGAGAATGCAAAGAAGGATTCTCCAGAGAATCAAGAAAATGATGGACAACCCTGAGCATTCTCTTCACAAGACTGTCCGACAATGGAAGAGTGTCTTCAGTCAGAGGCTTCTTCAGTTTCGCTGCAACACTGACCGCTACTGGAGATCCTTCCTGCCAACAGCCATTGTAATATGCAATAACCCTTTGATGACTTGATTATTATTATTATTCTGAGCTACTACAGCAATCAATTTCCCTCTGGGATTAATAAAGTATTTTTGAATTGAATTGAAGTCAGCCGGTGAGCCAGCTGCCATTTTTATCTTGGAACGCCGTCCTCCGCCCTGTTACGTGATGACATCACGTTCATAACCTTTATGGAACATCTCTAAACGTTGGACAAAATATTTAAAACTATTAAAGTAAAACTGAGAATTCAGCCATGGTTCTGTTTTGTAGATGACTTTTATTTATCTTTTTTATTTATTTTTATTTGTTTAGTCCTCGTCTCCTGCATGTTTTTTAATGACAGTATTGGAACTGGCACTGTTGCTATCTTTTAGCACCGCCCAAGCCTACCACTGATGGATTTTTGTAGCAATGAATATGTCACGTTGTTTGTTGCTCTGATTGGTCTTCGTGTTGGCCAATTACACGCAGAGACATTTTCAAAGACAACTGCCCCACAACCGAGCTTTGTCTTTGGGTCATGCCCAGACTACATATTTACATATATAAGATGCTTGCTAGGCTAAATAACACCTAGCCACTAAACCGATCATCAAATTTCAACTGAATATCTAAATGTAGCCCAAATACTAAACGTATTCCTCAAGCTTTAAATTTAGGACCACCCAGAATTTTGGTGTGCAGAAATCACTGGGATGGTGTGCTTCTTGTTTTCAGGCACAGCATAAAAACAAGCCCACACAAACACATCATCTTTGCTGCAGCAGTTTTTTATGCCTCAAGCTGCTAAGCTCTTACAGTGGCATTGTTTACTCTCTTTTGCTCCTCACTAGGTCTGCAGCTCAAAGCCAGGGTCAGTCGAGGACAATGCTGGTTGGTACTGCAGAGAGAGGCTCGCTTACTGCAGCACAAACCCGTATAATGTATTCCACCTCTAAAGGAGCATGCAGACAAATGTGTGACGGTGTTTAATTTAGTTTTCAAACATTCAGTTCATGAATTACAGCCTCCTAGATGATTCTTTGACCTCAACAGTTGCAACTGACTTGATAGATTACAGAACGTCTGCTGAACCTGCTGTCGCCCTGTGAATGCCTCTTGTTTTTTGCAGCTGTCAGTGCCCAAACACTGCTGTTGCTTCATAACATTTTCTGTATAAAGCAGATCTCTAAGATATTTTAAAAAGGATCCCTTTGAGTTTAGATTTTTAAAAATCTAGAATCTAAAGAAAGAGACGCATTTTATTGGTACAATAATCCATGATCCATCCATCATTGACTACACCCGCTTATCCACGCAGGGTCATGGGTCAACAATTCATGTGACCCTCAAATCTGAGTCAACAGAAAAGTTTAGTTGCTGTTGGCACATACACTTTACAGTTAAGGATTTTACCCAGGAGACGTATGCTATCAGCACAACACGGGGGCGGGGGGCTGTCTGCATCACCTTGGAGAAGTAAGTGTGTGATACATGAGCACAAGCCCAAGGTTTATAGGAGAATGGCATCTTAACACCATCTGTAGTTTGGGAAAACAACTTCATGAAATTTGATTTTTTTTGTTAACTGGAACAAAACATGAACACCCAGAGAAAGTGCGCTAGTGCTAGCTTAACTCTAGCTAGGCAAACACATGTAAAGGAAATGCACCACATCCTTATAGTACATGATGGAGGAAGCCTTTAAAACTTATGGCATTTCAGGAATTCTGCTTCACTTTGCAAAGAGTGAACGTTGTGTATGTGTGCAAGTTTGCTCACAGAATTCAACTTTTTTTTTCTTTTATGCTAAATTCCAGATATGCTGTCTGGTTGTGAATGCAGCTTTAGAGACCATCCTGTCTTCAGCTGATTAAGAGACAATAGCAACAGGTGTTACAGACGGGAGTCTTCCTAATGAGTTTCCCTCATGAGTGAAGTGAAAGTAACTTCTTCCTCCCTGCTGACTGGTAGAGAGATGAAAAGCGTAAACATGCTGTGTGTGTGTGTGTGTGTGTGTGTGTGTGTTCATGTGCACGTGTTAACTTAAGCATATTTACAGAGGTTTGACAGGACACACACTGCAGCTGATCTCACCAGCAGATGATTCTCAGTCATTTTTAGTTTGTTTCTGTTAAAAAAAAACATTTCATGTTTATTAAAAAAAATTACTTTTATAAACATCTTCATTTTCTTCTCATTTCTCACAATGTGGCTTGTTTCCTGATTACTCTGGTAGAGCGGGCTAGAATGTGTTGTCAGCTAGCTCAGGGTCAGAACACTCAACCTTCTCCTTGTATTTACTGTTGGTAGCCCCGCCCCAAGACATTTTGACCAATCGGCAGACTGCATCGTCTCACTTTGTTTGTGGTGACATCAGGGCTGGGCGATATGGCCTCAAATCTGAAGCATGTGCGATTACGATATGTACTGCGATATATTTTTTCCTTTGTTTATAATGTCAAAATGACATGCTTTAAAAAATCCTCATATGGAAAATATATTGCAGCAGAATAAAGACGTCCAAAAAGCGTAGAATGCTCCTCCTCCTCCCGCTACATGCTTGCAGTCACTGCCATTCTGTTGTTACAATGTCAGCACGGGTGCACATCTTAGTGACATCATGTGATATCGCGGTAGAGCCAAAAACTTATCATTACCCAATTGTATATCGTTTCTACCTTATATCGTTTATATTGCCAACCCCTAAGTGAAATATTGTGTTTCATTTTTAGTTTTATCTGTGTAAAAACAAACCAAACCACCGAAGAAAAATCTACAGATAAAAACGGCTTGAGGCCAGAGCTAATAAACAGGATGTGAAAATGACCCAAGAGTGTTTGTTATTTTGATCTTATTAAATGTTGTGGCTCCTAGCTAGCTGCAAATAAAACGAAGACTCCTGTAGAATAGTAATGAGATCCGTTACTAATAATAGATGCCTGTTTATAGTGCTGGTCATCATTAGATGACTCGTAATAACCAAAATAAACATTTGAATGTACAGCTGCAAGATTAAAACTAAATAACTTGACAAGAGCAACACTTGAAGTATCAACATGTCATTCATTCACCTGTCTGTTGCTGCAGGTTAATGTTCGCGTCACCACCATGGACGCTGAGCTGGAGTTCGCCATCCAACCAAACACAACAGGCAAACAGCTGTTTGATCAGGTAACACACACACACACACACACACACACACACACACACACACACACACACAGGTACACGAACTGACCTGTAGCAGTGAAAGGGTTTTTTAACAGGTAGCTGCTACTTGAGGAGAAACTTACCTCTACTTTAGTAAACTCTGTGACCTTCTAGAAGAATCCCAGTGTTTCCCGTCCATCACTAATGAGAAGCGCTGCTGACTGGTGTGTTTGTACCAGCAGGTACGTGGCTAGTTCTGGGTTGGTGTTGGTCTGTGGTATACAGAGTGCCCATTGTGTAATCAAGGAGATTTTAGAAGACAGATGATGGGTGGAATGGTTGGGCAGCTCTAGCTCCTGTGTGTGTGTGTGTGTGTGTGTGTGTGTGTGTGTGTGTGTGTGTGTGTGTGTGTGTGTGTGTGTGTGTGTGTGTGTGTGTGTGTGTGTGTGTGTGTGTGTGTGTGTGTGTGTGTGTGTGTGTGTGTGTGTGTGTGTGTGTGTGTGTGTGTGTGTGTGTGTGTGTGTGTGTGTGTTGCAGCCAAGCGAAGTAAAAGGACAGCTTTCAGTGTTTCATATCAGGCTGTACAGGGTCGTCGGGGTTGTTCTGATACAGATGAAGGAAAGCACAAATCCAGATAAAGCTGTTTTCAGCTTTTTGTTTGACTCTTTTATTTGCTTTACACCAAACCACAACTAATTATTTAAAACTGTTAAACACTAATTTGTTTCTTGTCACATCAGATTAAATCTACACTGTTATTGTATGAAAATCCCAGTCAAATCCTGTGTTTATGTAATAACTGTTTTGTTTTTACTGTGCTGCTGAGCATCACTGAATATGTGGGAGCCCTGTGAGTTGGTCTTGTCATTAAAACACTAAAATGCTGATAAACTTGCTACTGATATGGTGGCTAAAGCAACAATCTGGAGTTTCCCTTCATCAGTAATTATGTACTGTGGTATAATATAAGCAACACGTACATTTTTTGCTAATCCCAGTCTTGCACAGCCTCATGCTATTAGAATTAAGCTCCGCTCAGCATTAGCTTATAGTGATAGACATCAGCTTATGTACAGATTCAATTCAATGTTATTTATGAAGCACCTTCCACAACATTACTGGAAGCCTAAGGTGCTGAACACCATCATAAAAAACATGAACATAAAAGCAAACTAAAGATCACAGGAATATAAAATAGTAAAACAAGAGATAAAAGCAATTATAAAAGACAGTAAAATAATAAAAGATAGGGCTAATCAGTTAAAACAAATGACAAAAATGAGAACAAATGAAAAACATTCAAACCAATGCCAATCACAGAGCGTGTGCGAGCGCTAGAGGACATACCTAGACTAATGCAGAGTTGGCGAACATTTGTTATGGATAAGTAAATCTTAGTTTACATATTTTTAAATAATTATTTATATGTACAGTGCTCTGCATAAATGAGTACACCCCAATTATAGTCTTAACCCTCCCACTGTCTTTATGGGTGACCCTGCGAGGAAAGTTGACCATTGAGGAGGGTTGATAGTTTATCCCTTGAGGTCCACTTGGCAGGGGTGAGGTGGTACTCACTCCTCACCCCTGCCACGTGGACCCAAGGGATAAACCATCAACCCTCCTTGATGGTCAACTTTCCTCGCAGGGAGGGAGGGTTAAAAGAAAAGCCAAACTTAAGACTACAAAAGTTGAATTAACAGGCAATCAACCACAGGTGAGTCTAATGACTCATTTAAGAGGTGTACAGCAGACTGGTGACTATAAAAGAGCATCACTTAAAAAGAAAAGCCATGTCATGCTGTCAACAATGGCTCCATGTGTACGAGAAATGTCACAACACCTGAGAAAGGAAATCATTTCTTTTCACAACAAGATGAGGGCTACAAGAAGATCAGCAAGGCTTCACATATCAGTCAGAATACTGTGAAGGTAAGAAAGATGGAAGTGCAAACATCTTACAGAGACGTCCAGGCCGTCCACAGAAGTTAACATCTCAACAGGAGCATCTGCTGATGAGAAGGGTTGAAGAAAGTCACCATGCAAGTTCACTGCAGTTAGCTAAAGCAGTTGAAAGCCAAACTGGAGTGACCGTTTCCCGTGACACCATACGGCGCACACTGCAGAGGAATGGCATGCATGGGTATCGTCCACGAAGGAAGCCTCTCCAAAAGCCCACGCACAAAAAAGCGATTTGCTCGGGCCCATGCTGACTACTGAGACTCTGGAGCGATGAGACAAAGATCTCCGTTTTTGGAACTAATCGTTTCTAAACTGTTTGGCGTCGTAAAGGTGAGGATTTCAAAGAGAAATAAATGCATGGTGCCTACAGTGAAACACGGTGGTGGTGGTGTCCTTATGTGTGCTGCATGGGGGCTGCATTTCATTGATGTATCATTAACTCAACAGTGTACTGCTCTATACTGAAGGAGAAGAGGCTGCCATCACTCTGTGCACTTGGTCGTCGTGCACTTTTCCAACACGACAACGATCCAAATCACACATCTAAAGCTACTGCTGCATTTCTGAAGGAGAACAGGGTGAAGGTGACTGAATGATCAAGTATGTCTCCTGATCTGAACCCAATCCAACACCTGTGGGGAATTCTGAAGCAGCAAGTTGAGCAGCACTCTAAATCCAGCATCCAGGCTCAAAAGATCTTCTTCTAGAAGAATGGAACCAGATGTTGCAATATGCCGCCAACTTGTTCATTCCATGCCTAGAAGACTTGGTGCTGTCCTTGAAAATCATGGTGGTCATACAAATAAACTAGATGTGTTAGTTTTTGTTGTGGGGTGGATTCATTTTTGCTTCAGCCAATTTTAGTAAAACAGAAGATTTTGTGATCTAACTTAAGTTTTTGGAACAATTAAGAAAGACTGTGAGCTGGATCTCATTTTTCTGGCAGGAGTGTAGATGGTCAATAACTCACTGATGTGTTTTGGAGCCAAGCCATGAAGTGATCAAAAAAGCAGGATTTTAATGTGAATCCCGTAGCATAAAGGGTTATATGGTCACACTTCCTGCTGCATTTTGAACCAGCTGAAGCCTTTTCAAGGATGATCGTTCCAGACCCAAGTAAAGTGAGTTGCAGTAGTCCAAACGACAGGAAACAAGCACATTGATGACATGTAAAAACTTCAGCAGGAAGATATTGTTGTACCTTTGCTAACAGCTTTAAGTGATTAAACCCTGATTGGACTACATCACTCACCTGTCTCTTCCGCCAAAGAACCACCAGGAAAGACTTTTCACACAAGACTTTACTAAGGATGAGCAAGGAATGGACGGACTGACCACACTAAGACATGTTGTGTGAGAACACAGCAGAAGCATTTTCTCAGCTGTTCGACTACTTTTATAAATTACTGTTAAGAGCAAAACGTCATCCTGTCTGGTTCTTTCACTGCTGCACAAATGTTACAATATTAAGAATTTAGTTTACCTCTACTGTACATCTTCAGGTGCACAAATAATTTTTAAAAAGCTGTGAGCAGCGGCAGCCGTGGAGTTCACAGATGATCTCTGAAAAATGTCTGTTTAAAGGTAGTTTTATTTATTTTTATAAGTTAAGAGAAGAAGCGGACATATTTTCCCAAACGCTGTGTAGCGTTGTAAATCTACATAACTAAAATTAACGCTGTGCTATTCAGCTTTGTTAGATTCTGAGAAAGATCAAACAATTTGACCTTATGAACTTATATTTACATAGATATCCACGGATATTTATATAATCGATATAAGTTCATACACCAACTGGCTTGGTCTATATTTAATCCAAAGATTAATATTTAATTTAAGAGATTTAAATTAATAACAAAAGTTTATTTATTAAATCAGAAGACTTAAAGGAATCTTTGCTTGTTCAATAACCAAATATACACCATTCTGTGTTTCATTTCAAAGAAGAGTCAGGTTTAATAAGTTAAGAATTTATTACTAACAATTTAAAAATGACAATTTATAAAACTTTGATATTAAAACTTGGTATTAAAAGCAACCTGTGTCTGGATGAACTAAAATGAAATGTGTGTGTTTGATGTGTGAATGGAATCTCAGAAGGTTCCTATCAGAGAGAGAAAACGCGTTCTGGGTGCAAGAGTTGCTTTGCAGCTGAGCTAAGTTATTTCTTAAAGAAACAGGCATGCGGACGCAGTCTGTCGGAAGTGTCTACCTCACCCAGTTAGGAGACCCCCTTCTTGGATCCGAGATGTCAGGAGGAGCTGATGACCCCCAAGCACGAGGTGGGTAGAAGAACCTTAGTGCCACCAAATCGGTCCTGAGATGTCTCCGGGTCACAACGACTAATGAAAGTGGTTGCGTCTCAAAAATCAATAATTCTGAAGGAGTTTTGCGTCAGCTGGTTGCAGATGGTGTTTCTTGTTGAAGCAATTCTATCAGTGTGACAGAGCAGCTTAGTAGAGGTTTCGAGCAGCCGTCTCGATCCTCTGGGACTCTCGTCGCCACGGAGAGATTTTTGGTGAGCTCATAAAAACTGAACTTGAACTGAGGAGTTTAGGATTTAACAAACCTCAGGACACGCCCTCTCAGAGATAGAAAGCTTTGGTTATGGAGCAAAGACATGTGAGAGCAGTTACCTTTAACCCTGATGTCTGAGTCCTGCATGGTGTGTACAAGTGCACATGACCTTCTTGTCACTGTTAGACATTACTGATTATCATAAATAATAATTATTATTAACCAAAGAATAATAATTCATTTTGGTAATTAAATACATTAATAATGAACCATGATGATTATTTATGATGAGTATTTATGAACATTGTAATAAACAGTGAAAAGAGTTGATTAAAAATTATTTTTTTAAATCTTGAAGTGTCCTTCATCTTGCGGACGGAACAGCAGTCAGATAAAAGGCAGTCAGATAAAAGGCAGTCAGATAAAAGATGTTTGCAGCAGACTTTATGTCTCCTGTGCTGGATAATCTGTGAATAGAAGTACAGCTTGACACAGCTCGACCTAGCTGGGGAAGTGTGACCTTTGGGTCACAAATGAGGTCA